GTGTTCCCCTCCTAGCTTCTGCCTCTGTGGCTGCTGGCAGAGAACTGCTAGCCTGGCTTCCGCCCTGGGTTTTATAAGGGCCAGGCCCTGCCCCCTTCCGGCCAGCTGACTCTCCTTAGTTGCCCCGGCACCCCGCAGCTGTGCTCGTTAGTGTCCTGCCAGGGCTCTCTCCCTGGCAGTTCCTCCTCTCTAGGAGCAGAGCACCGAGGTGCCCTGCGACAGAGGCCAATTTTAGATTGCCGTTATATGGATCATATAATTTAGTTGCTTTTAGACAATAATGACCAGAAGGAGGAAACTTACTAGTTCAACATCATTTGAATGACACACCCAGACTTACCCCTAAATTCTTTTGAATGTAAAACTGATATGTAAGTAGAAGGGGGGAAAAATCCTGAAAGCTGTGTTGGATGCATTGCAGTGATCTGTTTTGGGATTCAAAGTCTTTTCCTTGAGGTTGGTATAATCTGAATGTTAGAGCAAACAGCTGATTCTGCTGATGGGAAAGACTCAGCATTGTCCCAGTGGGAGGGAAGGAGGTTGGAGGAAGGGGCAAATACCTAGCAGCATCCTGCTGGCGGTGTGGTATCATGTAGCCTAATGAGCAGTCAACTTGTCTGTCTGTTCTTGTTTGTTGTTCTCAGGGTGGTGTTAACACTACCTCACTTGGGCAGAAATGTTTTCAGTCTTCTGGGAATTCTTTAATGTAGACTGCTGCAGTGGTAGTTTTTAAGTGGTGGCGCTGCTCTCTGTCTTGAAGCTAGTAATACAAAAGAAAAAGATTGATTATTGGCCACTGAAAGCAGTGGCTGCTCAACAAACCATAGGGGACAGCGTCTGTAGAGCTGGGAAAAGCTGATTCAGGTTTTCTGTGGTCCCTACAAACAAACCATTATGAGTGGATGAATAATTCTTCATTTTTCAAATGATGGATTCATTAAGGAACTTTAATGATCTGCATGCAGCATACATACATACTACAAATTTATTCTAGGAATAACTTTTTCCCCCAGATATCCAAGTATCATACACAGTACACACATTTAAACAGCTGTCCTTCAGAAAGTACTTCTGGGCCAAGGCACAAAGAAGAACCTGCTCCTACAGATGATTAGCATATGCCAAATGATAAAATATGCTGAATGTATGGCTCAGCACTGTAAATACCAGAGTATAGTCAGGAGCCTATACTTTAGGCACCCATGTTTGAAAACGACCACTTCCTGCCAGAATTGGGTGTAATTTGTCCCTCTGCCCCCAGTGCCTTTAGGCTTCCTGTAAGCTTACCAGCTTATAAAATGATGATAAAAGTGTGAACTTTGGCAAGATGGCTTTTAATCTTAGGCTGTCATAAAATACGGCTGTTTCTTTTCTTCCTGTCTCCTACTCCTACACTTTCTGAAAAGTTTCTGGCTTGACATCATTCAGGTGGTGTCAGGTTGGCTGTATTTTGTGGTCTGCAGCCTTGGGTGTGAATCTCTTTCCAGGATAGTTGATCATGTGGACTTAGTAGAGTGCCATTTACTCCTGCACAGATGAGTCCAGCCCTTGAACTTTCCAGAAGAAAGCACCCATAAAAGGCAGCTCTTGCTGAGATGCTCTAAATTAACTCAGCAGATTCTCGGTTATGGCAACACCAAAAGAGTGCTGCGGCATTCTAAAAGTGCATTTAAAATATGTAGGGCCAGATTCAGTTCTTGGTGTGATTGCACAGTTCTATGCCCTGTCACCAGTAAATTTGATCCATAGCATAGTGAGTATCTAGCAGTTAAAACCCTGTTGTTGCAGTGTTCTTTGTAAATGGACCTTTGCTCCTACAGCGTCTCATTAACAGGGATCCGGGTTTTCTGTTTCCCGCGGGAAAATAGAAAAAAACATGGATTTCCCCTTTTCATAGTTTCATAGTTTCATAGTTTCAGGGTCGGAAGGGACCTAATAGATCTTCTAGCCCGACCCCCCGCCAGGGCGGGAGAACAACCCAAAAAACAAAACAAAACAAAACAAAACAAAACAAAAAACCACTCACCCTAAAAACAAAAACGGGACTCAAATGAGTCCAGCCAGGTAAGTATCCAGCCTCTTCTTAAAGATCCCCAGGGTAGGGGCCAGCACCACCTCCCTTGGAAGTTGGTTCCAGCTCCTAGCCGCCCTGACTGTGAAGTAGTTTTTTCGGATGTCCAATCTGTACCTCCTCTCCATCAACTTGTGCCCATTATTCCTTGTTATGCCAGCAGGGGCTAGGGGAAACAGCGTCTCCCCCAAACCCTTCTGGTTCCCCCTAGTGAGTTTATAGACGGTCACCAGGTCCCCCCTCAGCCTTCTCTTGTGGAGGCTGAATAGGTTCAAGTCCCGCAGTCTCTCACTGTAGGGTCTGCCCTGTTGTCCCCGGATCATGCGGGTGGCCCTCCTCTGGACCCTCTCCATGTTGTCCACATCCCTCCTGAAATGGGGCGCACAGAACTGGACACAATACTCCAGCTGCGGCCTGACCAGCGTCGCATAGAGGGGGAGGATCACCTCCCTGGCTCTACTCGAGATGCACCTGTGGATGCACGACAAGGTCCGGTTAGCCCTGCCAACCATGACCTCGCATTGTCGGCCCATGTTCATCTTGGAGTCAATAATGACACCAAGATCCCTTTCCGCCTCCGTGCTCTCAAGTAGGGAGCTCCCCATCGTATAAGTGTGCTGCTGGTTCCTACTACCCAAGTGCAGCACCCTGCACTTGTCCGTATTGAAACGCATCCTGTTCCTGTCTGCCCACCCCTGTAACCTATCCAGATCCTTCTGCAATCTCTCTCTCCCTGCTAGCGTGCTCACCTCCCCCCAAATTTTGGTGTCATCAGCGAATTTAAACAGGTTGCTCTCCACCCCAACATCAAGATCGCTGATGAAGACATTGAACAGCGCAGGGCCCAGGACCGAGCCCTGAGGGACTCCACTACCCACCTCCCCCCAAGTCGAATATGATCCATCCACCACCACCCTCTGAGTGCGACCCTTCAGCCAATCTGCAATCCATCTGACCGTGTAGGCATCTATGCCACAGTCGCCTAGTTTACTAATTAGGATGGGGTGAGAGACGGTGTCAAAGGCCTTGCTGAAGTCCAGAAAGACTACATCCACCGCGACACCTGCATCCATGGCCTTTGTGACCTGGGGCAGCAGCCATGAGGGATACTCAGGAACAAAGAAGAGGTGTACCGTCTGAAACTTGCTCTCTCTCTCAAAACTCATGATCAAGGAACTGCTTGCCTCCGGAGGGAATTTCCAACAGCCTCTGGATGATACTTGTAAGTAAGCTAACTGAGATCCAACTAGATATATAGCTTGCAGTAGCTCAGATGCGAGATCAAAGGCTACCCCACCCACAGGAGTTTGCTCTATGGGATTTCTCTGATACTGCTCTACCCTGTACCCTATTCTAACCACCCTCTGTAACCAATAAAGTTCTCCTTTGTGACTGGTGTAGGAGACTTATTGAGGGGTGGGTTTAATTATGCCTAGGAGGCCCCTTGGGTCTGCAGACTAAGGGAGACTATCCTTTTTGGCCCCCGACTTGGGGAAGTGCCCCAAATCCTTGTATTGGGTCGAGTGCCTGTAGGACTATTAGGCCTGTGTTTCCCTGAGGACACAGAACCTAGAAGGTCCCCTCTCGGGGTGATGGCAGCACGTTAGCCCCAGACTCTGCGGTGGGGCTTGAAAGGGGGTCTGCAAGGGCTTAGGCGCCCCTGGGGAGTCACGTGGAGTCCGGAAGGTGGACGGGCGTAGTGAGGTGGGAGGCTCAACGCAGGAGCTCCCCCTACTGGCCCACCACACCCCCCAGATCTGTGTGCAGGATGGCGGTGGGAGCAGGCTGTCTGCTGTAGGCTTGGGGCTCCCTGCCCTGCTGCCTTCCCCTGGGGCCTCTGCGTCCCAGTGGGTAGGACCCAGCATGGCAGGGCAGAGCGGAGCTGGGCAGGAAGCTCCTTTCTGCTGCAGACCCTATGCCACCCTGGCAAAGCACCACCTGCCTGCCCAGCAGCAGGGGGGTGACAGTGAGGAGTTGTGCCCTTCGCTGCTTCTAGGCGGGCAGGGGGTGCCTTGCCATGGTGGCATGAAGTTCCCACAGGCTCTGCTTCACCCTTGCTACCCTTGGGGGAGGGGGAGCCAGGCTCTGCAAGCCACTCCACCACAGCAGCCACTGCCTCCCGTGGTTGGCAGCCAGGGCTCGGGTGCTGCTGCAGTGGGCAGTGGACCTGGGTCTCTGGCCCCATAGCCTGGCAGCTGGGGCCCTCCTCCGGCAGGGCTGGGGTGGGGATGCTGCAGGTGGGCAGTGAGGGGCACAGTCGGGGCCCAGGGACTTGGCAATGAGTGAGGGGCACCAGCAGGGCTGGGAGGGTTGTGGCTTGGGAGTGAGGGGCCTGGACCTGTGTCCTGGTGAGTAAAAGGGGCAGGGGGAGCTCTGATTTTCCATGATAACCCAAAATCAAATACCAAAATGTATAGGTACTTACACTTTATTTTATTATAGTGATTGAGGCACTGGTAGGCTTTCAAATTGTTTTCAAGTTGTAAACATATCAATAAAATATTGTGTTCAGTTGATACCTATATATATAGTGATGTTTCATTTTAATTGCAGATCTTGGGGTTTTTAATCGGAGAATTTGCAATTTTAAACAAAGAAAACCAGGATCCCTTCTCATTCAAGTGATTTAAGAGTTTCATCTCTGCATAAGAAATACCTCTTGTGTCTCTGCTGGTTGATACATGTATCTATTATTGCACCCAGTAATAACAGGCTTGTGTTCTTCAGAATGTTTTCTTTACCTTTTCTATAGCGCACAAACTCTGCTCATTTCACGGCTGTATAAAATGACAGACCCCGGTGGTAGATAATTTATTTTACCTTTAAACCCTAGTGTGTTGCTAATCTTTACAGTAGATATTGACTGTCCTGGCAATTTGAATACTGCTGCTTTGTTACCGAGCCTCGTAAGATTACTCCTTCCAAATGAACTCTTGCACTTTTTACAAATAGTGACTCATATCTCTGTGCCATATTTCATAGCAGAAAGCAATGGCACAGGGAGAATGGCAAGAGAGATGGCTTTGCCTTAGTATATATTTTGATCGCCAAGTTTAAAACAAGCTCAGTGTTATAATTTGTTCAGTAAGCAAAAGGTCTTCAAATAAAAATATACTTTATGTTTAATTTGTAATGCAAAGCTTATAAATTGTGGAAAATGCTGATTTGACACAGCAGGTATGACCGTGCTCTTTTGTATTCCACCGAATTATGTCTGCAACATAGGATTTATTTGCTTGAATTAATTTACTGATCCTTAATTGCTTTTGTTTGGTCTTTCTCATAATGTGTCCTTATTTTGTTAGGAAGAATTATTCTGATAATCTAATAGCCACTAAAAGATAATCTCTTAATGTGAAATTGTGCATGACCTAGTTACAAATTAGGCAGTGCTGAGAAGGACTTGCCTGCATTTCATACCTTCTCAGATCGGGCTGTTTATGGTTCATTGCATTGTATGTTCTCATGCAACTAACAGTGCATTTCCGAGTTTAATGGAGAGAGAAATGAGAAATTTTGTAGGGGTGCACTGATAAAGATTTTTGTGGCTGATACCCAATTATTAACCAGCCTTATGGGCCAGTACCAATCTGATATGGAACTGATATATCGGCGCACCTCTAGAATTTGGTAGAAGAAAAGATTCTAGCAGGGAACCAGATTAATAATGGTGGAATAATTATTGATTGGTGGAGTTATAACAATGCTAATTCTGACTTGCTGTTAAATGTCTGGATCACATAATGACTTTCACTTATCTATCTGAGGATGTATTGAGCAGTCCTTAGGCAAGAGCTCCTCTTCACTGGAGACTGTTTCCACTGTTTAGTAATTTCTGGGAACATGATGCAATTCTGTTGACATTACAGATGTAGAAATAATGTGGGGTATACTTAGGTTTCCACATCTTCTCTAGGAGTCGGAGTAAATATAATCTATTTTTTTATTAGTGGTATATCTTTACTGTTCTAAAATAAAACATTTGATTATGAAGTCAAACTAAGAAGGTATTTCTTCATGAAACTGAGATCTCTTGTTGATTTGAATCTTCCTTACAAAGGTGTTGTTATAATCTGAAGTTCCTTGGAAGTAATTCTGTGGTTGATTACTAAAGACAGACTTTGCTTAATCATCCGAACCCAAAAGCATAGATTTTTTTTCTATGCTTATTTCTTTTCCCAATTTTAATTGACCTGATTCTTAATTTTGAAGGCAACACTTGAAATAACTTAGTGAAGTGCGAATTTCTGCTACTTTACTGTAAAGGTTTGGGCAGTCAAGGTGAAATGCAGTGATGGCGTTTTTCTCATGAAATTGTTCATCCTTAACTATGATGCAGCTCTCACTTTAAAAATCAATATTGTTTGACTTTGGTCAGAACTCTGCTTAAAAATGCTTAATTTATCAGCATGATTTTTAAGCTGGAAACAGAGTATTATAGCTATTAGATTTTGGAGGGCCTGACACCTATGGGAATAGTGGATCTTGGATAATGTACATCCAGAATACATATGGGGACAGGATAAAATATCCATGTTTCCCCCTGTCGGTGTGTGGGTGGTCACTAAAAAGGGCTTGTGCCTGGGCTTCTAGCATGTATGTGATGGACAGCAGTCATTGTGTGGCAGGCAATGGACTTGGAACTTGCAGTATAAGGAGGGAAGACATCGGGGGCAAGTAGATCTGGGCAGTGCATGTGGCCTTGTGTAATGGGTGGGTGGGGTAGGTGGGTTATAGATAAAGGAAAATTCTGTAAAGTCCCTTATCTTGACCACCCAGCAATGTAAATTCACTGAGATAGAACAAACTCAGAATAAATGTTCCTTTAAAGCGGTGCACAAATTAGTTATGTTTGAGGAATATAATTAAGTGGTTCACATGGCACTATGTATACAGATAGACCCATTGCATGCTGGGAATAGTCATTTACAACCCCCTTGTACTATTTGCAATTTATACTTGTGTGTCCATTCTGTAAGTATCCTGGAAAGGTTCCCAACCTTCAGATCCACCTGATAATGGTCTAAGCTGCCCTGAAATCTCCCCAAGGATCTCCTAGGCTGAATACTATTTCCCAAAGCATTTATTGCTTTCCTTTCTTGTTGCAGAAAAATCTATCTTTATTGACTCCACTACTCTGTTTCATCAGGATCATTAGGATGGGCCTGATTCTTCACTCAGGCAAAACTCTCCTTGGCTTCCTGAGTCAGAATCTGCATGTTTGTTATAAAACTTACTAAAACTTTCTCAAACACAACAGGCCTTCTCGTGGGGACGCTAGATGCAGTCTTGGATTCTACATCCAAAGTGGCTCCATTTCGTATCCTGCATCAGACACCAGATTCTCAAGTCTACTGGTCCATTGCTTGTGGTATGTATGAATCCTTATTTAGAGGTTAACTGGTGTTGAAAAGGGGTGTTTCTTGTTTCACTGAGAATGTAACAAAGAAAGGGATGTGAACTTGTGCTGGGAACATCATCTCTCTTCCCCATCTAACTTAATTAGGCTCAAACAAGAAAACTGCTCGCATCATGGTGGAAATGGAAAGGCTTCCAAGTACTACTCAGTCAGGGCCATGTGGGGTGTGGTTAGGTTCGGAGGAATGGAAAAAACCTGCGTTTATAGGATTGTGTCCCTAAAAGTGCTTTGTCAGATGTTCTGAGTTTTTGTACTTCTACGTTACATTTCAGTGTGAGATTTTGTTTTTCATTTGTTTATTAACAATGTAGATTATAGAGAATGCATACCTGCCATTTAGGCACATCATAGCCAGTGTTAAGTCTAATTTTGTACTAATCATGTTGCATTTATTGAATTATGGCTCTACTGTTAGATATTTTAATTAATGGGTAAGGACCTTCTCTTCAGGCTTATACAAACAACTCTTCCCCTGTAGCACTGAAGAACTAATCATAGATGCCTCAATAGTAAGCATCATGCATAAAAACTTATAGACTCAAAGGCAGTATTGTCCCCATGAAACCTGTTAAAGCTTACAGCCAAGCCTGGAGGAGCTGGAGCTAAATTGTGTAGGTCACATACAAAAAGTCACGTAGATTGAAGGAGAGGGTTGGGAGGGCAATACAGCAGTGCACAGGAAATCTTGGAAGTTTTTGGAGAGTGTTGGGGACAACTTCCTGGTGCGAGGGTTGGAGACCGGCACGGGGCCATGCTCTTCTTGATCTGCTGCTCACAAACAGGGAAGAATTGGTTAGCAATGTAGAAGTGGATGGCAATTTGAGCAGCAGTGGCCATGAGATGATTGAGTTCAGGAACCTGACAAAAGAAAGAAAGGAGAGCAGCAGAATATAGACCCTGGACTTCAGAAAAGCAGACTTGGACTCCCTCAGGGAACTGATGGACAGAATCCCTTTAGAGGCCAGTCTGAGGGTAAGAAGAGTCCAGGAGAGCTGGTGGTATTTTAAAGAAACCTTACTGAGGGCACAGGAACAAACCACCCCTATGTGCAAGAAGAATAGCAAATATGGCAGGCGACCAGCTTGGTTTAGCATATACCTCTTCAGTGAATTTAAACACAAAAAAGGAAGCTTACAAGAAGTGGAAGCTTGGACAGATGAGTAGGGAGGAGTATAAGAGTATTGCTCGGGCATGCAGGGATGAAGTCAGGAAGGCCGAAGCACAATTGGAGTTGCAGCTAGCAAGGGACATGAAGGGTAACAAGAAGGGTTTCTACAAGTATGTCAGCCACAAGAAGACGGTCAGGGAAAGTGTGGGTCCCTTGGTGGGAGGCAACCTAGTGACAGCTGATGAGGAAAAGGCTGAAGTACTCAATACCTTTTTTACCTTGATCCTCACAGGCAAGGTCAGCTCTCAGACTACTGCCCCAGGCAGCACAGTTTGGAGAGAAGGTGAGCAGCCCTCAGTGGTGAAAGAACAGGTTAGGGACTATTTAGAAAAGCCAGATGTGTACAAGTCCGTGGGGCTGGAAGCAATGCATGTAAGGGTATTGAGAGAGTTCACTGATGTGCTTGCAGAGCCGGTTGCCATTATCTTTGAAAACTCATGGTGCTCAGGGGAGGTCCTGGACGATTGGAAAAGGGCAAATATAGTGCCCTGCCTTTCAAAAGGGAAGGAGGAGGATCCAGGGAACTACAGACCAGTCTGTCTCACCTCAGTCCCCAGAAAAATCATGTAGCAGGTCCTTCAAGAATCAATTTTTAAGAACTTGGAGGAGAAGAAGGTGATTAGGTCACATATCAGGATGGATTCACCAAGGGCAAGTCATGCCTGACCAGCCTGATTGCCTTCTATGATGAAATAACTGGCTCTGTGGATGCGGGGAAAGCAGTGGACGTGATGCATCTTGACTTTAGCAAGGCTTTTGCTATGGTCTCCTACAGCATTCTTGCAAGCGAGCTAAGGAAGTATGGATTAGATGAATGGACTGTAAAGTGGATAGAAAGCTGGCTGGGTTATCTGCCTTGGCAAGTAGTAATCAGTGGGTCAATGAGTAGCTGGCAGCCGGGATCAAGTGGAGTGCCCCAGGGGTCGGTCCTGGGGCCAGTTTTGTTCAGTATCTTCATTAACAATGTGGAAGATGGGATGGAGTGCACCCTCAGCAAGTTTGCAGATGACACCAAGCTGGGGGGAACTAGTGGATGCACTGGAGGATAGGGATAGGATTCAGAGAGACCTCAACAAATTGGAGGATTGGGCCAAAAGAAATCTCATGAGGTTCAACAAGGACAAGTGCAAAGTCCTGCACGTAGGATGGAACAATCTCATGCACCGGTACAGGCTGACTGGCTGGGCAGCAGCTCTGCAGAAAAGTACTAGGGGTTTATAGTGGACAGTAAGCTGGGTATGAGTCAGCAGTGTGCCCTGGTTGCCAAGAAGCCTAACAGCATACCAGTCTGCATTAGTAGGAGTGTTGCCAGCAGGTCAAGGGAAGCAATTATTCCCCTCTATTCAGCACTGGTGAGGCCACATCTGGAGTGCTGTGTCCAGTTTTGGGCCCCCCACTACAGAAAGGATGTGGACAAGTTGCAGAGAGTCCAGCAGAGGGCAATGAAAATGGTTAGGAGGCTAGGGGACATGATTTATGAGGAGAGGCCGAGGGAACTGGGCTTATTTAGTCTGGAGAAGAGAAGACTGAGGGGGGATTTAATAGCAGCCTTCAGCTACCTGAAAGGTGGTTCCAAAGAGGATGGAGCTGGACTGGTCTCAGCGGTGACAGATGACAGAACAAGGAGCAGTGGGCTCAAGTTGCAGCAAGGGAAGTTTAGGTTGGATATTAGGAGACACTTTCTCACTAGGAGGGTGGTGAAGCACTGGAACGAGTTGCCTAGAGAGGTGGTGGAATCTCCATCTTTGGAGGTTTTTAAGCCCTGGCTCGAATGATGAAGCTGTGGCTGGAATGATCTAGTTGGGGATAATCCTGCTCTGAGCAGGGTTTGGAGTAGATGACCTCCTGAGCTTCCTTCCAACCCTAATTTTCTGTGCTTCTATAAAAATAGATTACTGGTATTTTCCCCTTTCATTATTATATATGGCCAAAGAGCTGTGAAAATAAAACAAGGCCATTCCTTTATTTGTGCTGAGTTTAATTTTTTTAGTTTTGCTGGTGAGAGTTTACCCAGCAGCAGGTGTTTGCTATTGCATTAAGTTAATGTTAACCAGAATGAATGCTGAAACTGTGGTTATCCTTAAGTGGTTAAAATTGTCTGTATGAACAGGTTTAGTTTCCCTGATCCTGCTAAGCAAATAAAGATTCACCTGTGCAAGTACAGGTTTTGTGAAGAAATAGGGCCTTAACCAATACCTATTGAGGTCAACAGAGAAAACTTCCATTGATTGGTCTTTGTAGGTGTTGGACCAGGCCCATAGTAAAGATATTATAGCTGAGGTTTCCAGTTTCAAAGCAAATATATTTGCCGCAGCCTCTCTGACGAGGGGGTAGAGATAAATGAGCTGAGTCATGGTGCAACAGCCTTCATCTCTCCCCAGGGTGAGGATGGCACTGCTATTTTGCTACCAAGCATTTATCTTCTTTTCCTTTTAAACCAAAATTTCCCTTTTTGTTCATTTTCAACTCCTTGAAAAAGGCATAAATACCATATGTCACTGCATTCAGTAGGAAACATCTTACTGTGAAATTCTGATCGCTTCTTCCTCTGTTTGCTCTTCAAGGGTATCCCTGAAAATGAAAAATATTTTTGGTGGGAAAATGTGTGCTGTATTGTGGAAAGGAGTTTAAGGAATGCAGTTTAATACAGTGTGATGCATGGGACTTGAGAAGAGGAAGTGAGAACCTGGTAAAGTCACTAGAAACTGAACCACTTGTAGACTGCTAATAAGTAGAAATCCAGGAATAACCTGGAGGAAACACTCTGTGGTGACCAGCTGCCACAAGGATGTTCTGAGTGCAGTAAAAATGCCTATAAAAGAGTAAAAATAAACATGCCCCAGCCAGAGACCTCTAGTGCCATTTCCTGTTCCCCAAGGGCTTGAACCACTTGTACTTAAATTGTATCCTTTCCTTCCTTTTCTACGTTCTCTACTTGGCTGCTGGTGAAAATGGTACTGTGTAATGTTCCTGTGATGCAAAGTGTAAATGCAAATTGTTCTCTCCATGAGGTAATATCTTATTAATAAAACCACAAGGCAAACTTACTTTGCTGTCGTTACATTTTAATCGTCTAAAACAATCATGTTAGTTGGTTTATAACCTTGCCTGTGGCATACCTGCTATTGTAACTATATACGTAATTGCTTCATGGGAGGCATGTAAATGACAAGTGTTGTCTTGTTCTAAACCTAATTACAATGAAAAGAACAAGATGATTATTCCCATGAAGCCAGTAGCTAGCCTTAGCTAAAAAGATGTTACGCTAAAAAATTGTGATACAGGAAGGATCTTTTTTATTTCTTTCCTCACCGTCAAATGAGTTTC